AGGTTGGTTATTATACAACCCTTGACATTTGTGTAACCAATACAACCCAATCTCAACCGTCTATTTCATTTGATGAAAATGTGATTTCATAGAAGTTTTGATTGTTTCCTAATATAAAATATTAATCATAATTAATGAACCCTATTCATATTCCATAAATATTCAAATCATAATAAATGAATTCCCATCATTTCTATAAATATCTCAATTAATTGAGTTGTAAGGGTTGTGTAAATACACAAGGTTGTAAAAGAAATATACCATATATATATATATATATATATTATATTCAAACGAGAACGCTAATTATTTAAGAAAATAAGAAAAATGTCATTAATGTACAAGATCATATATGATTCATGTACAAAATCATACATGATTCATATTCACATATAAAATCATACACACACATACATATATATATATATATATATATATATATATATCCAAGTACAAAATCATATAGGTTTAAAGTCGTTCGCTTCCATTTTTTTGACATTAACATAAAATAACATGCGATTTTATACATTAACAACATTTTTCTTAAATAGTTAACGTTTTTCTTTTTGAAATTTCTTTTATCTATACTATATTATAAAACATTTGATAAAAACTCTTTTTATGCATGAATGTAATGTTTATTGATGCATATTATTTAAAATTGAAGATTACATGTAAATTGTGCGTAAGTACAACTTATTAAAGTTTCATATTTGAATTAGTGTAACTAACTGAAAATAAACAAAATTGAATATAAGATAAATATCTCATTTTAAATATGAAAAATCTAAAATATAATTAAGATAATCATTGAGTTCTAATAAAATACTTGATCATTATCTTTATAAAAAATTATATTATTAAACTAAAAATAAAAAAAATAAAAAAATACACAAAACAATGAGAAATTTTAAATAGTTAGTTTGTACTATATATTATTAAACTAAAAATAAAAAAAATAAAAAAATACACAAAATAATGAGAAATTTTAAATAGTTAGTTTGTACTAATATCAATATTTTTTTTTCCAATTTTTTATGATTTCTTCATATTTTTATTTTATTCAAAAATAAGAACATTATTGTTTTTCTCAAAATCATATAAAACTATATTATAACATTGACTGAGACAAAAAAAACTATATATTAAAATCGATATTTATCTCACTATATTACATAAGTACTTTTATAGTAGGGAAAAGTACAATAAAAACCAATGAACTTTCTTGTTTGGAATGATTAAGTCCTTAAACTTTTTTTTGAAATAAATAAGTCCTTGAACTTTCCAAAACATGTTAAATAAGTCATTGGACAATTTTTTGGCACAAATAAGTCCTTGGACATTCCAAAACGTGTTAAATAAGTCCTTAAACATTCCAAAAAATGTTAAATAAGTCCTTGGACAATTTTTG